GATGATCGGAAGAGATTAGAATCTGAATATAGTTTGAAAGTAGAGCCAACAGGATGTTGATGCATTGTAAATGGTTTGTTGGGTTAGCAAAAGAAGCATCTAGGGTGATTACAAGACTTTAACTTGACTAGAAGAATGGAGCTATCATTTACTGAGATGAGGTAGAATATGAGAAGAGAAGTTTAGACTGTTGATTATATGATGGTTATGGGGGTTTTATATTCAGTATGTAGAGGACATTTAAAGCATTGAGATTTCAGTGAAGCTAGATGGAGAAGAAAAGCAGTTTGAAGATGTAAGACCTGAGGCAGTCCAGCATTTGGAGACTTGGGAAGATGAAAAAGAACCAATGGAAGAAACTAAGAACTAATCATTGAGGCAGAAAGTGAATTAGGGAGCTAAATGGAAGCTAAATCATTTCAGATCAAGAGAACATTTCTAAAAGGAAAAGATCAACTGCAAATTAAGTACTGGACTTAGCAATGCAACATTTGCTGGTAACCTTGATGAAAGCTCTCAGGAATGATGGGGACAAAAATCTGACTGGAATGGGTTCATGAGGAAACAGGAGAAGACATATTAGAGAGGATAAGTTTGGGCTTCCCTGGTGGCACAAGGGTTAAGATACAACCTATGAAGCTGTCCACAGCCACTGTAGCACAAGTGTGATTCCCAGCCAAGAAGCTACCCACAAGAGCCACAGACCTCTCCTGACTCACCCGGTGGTCCCCTCAGCGGTGTATTTCAGTCAATCTGCCTGTTCTGTTCCCTACTCTGTCTCTGGTGAATCCTCTCACCCCACCCCACCCCACCTCTGGCCTATACCCCAGTTCTTGTATGCATAAATAAATCTTTTTAAAAAATAAATAAATACATAAAATAGAGATGATAAGTTTAAGTTTAATAACCCTTTCTGGTTGTTTAAGGAGTAGGACAGAAATTGGATGATAGCTCGGGGCAAGGAGAGAGTCAAGGGAGGATTTTTTTTTTTAAAGATGGGCAGTATTACTTGTGTGTATATGCTGAGTGGGAATGAGACAAAGGCAAAAGCTGATGATGCAGGGAGGGACAGGGAATAATTGATGGAGCAATATCCTTTAGTGAATAAGAGAGTATATGATTGGTGCACGGGATAAGGAGGTGGTTTATTAGAGACGTACAGTTTATACACAGCAAAAAAGAAAGTTCAGGCACACCTTAGAGATAGTACAGGTTCCGTTCCAGACCATCCCATTTCAGGTGAGTAGAGCAGGTTTTTTTGTTTGTCTCTCAGTGCATACGAAAGTTATAAATATAATTTTTAAATATAATTATACTGTGGTCTAGTGAGTATGCAATAGCATTATGTCCAAGAAAAACAATATATATACCTTAATGAAAAGTACTTTACATTGAAAATCTGTTGTCAGTGATCTTCACTGGATCATCTGGACAACTTGCTGCAACTTCTCCATCAGCACTTGCAGCTTTACCTTGCATTTTTGTGTGATGGAGTTGGCTTTTTTCCTTAAACCTCTGGAAGGGGCCTCTGGGAGCTTCAAACTTTTCTTCTGTAGCTTCCTCACCTCTGTCAGCTTTCAGAGAATTGAAGAGAGTTAGGACCTTGCTCTGGGTTAGGATATGGCATAAGGAAATGTTGTGACTTGTTTAATATTCTATTCAGACTCAGACTTTTTCCATATCAGCAATAAGGGTGTTTTATTTCCTTATTTGTCTGTTCACTGGAGTAGCACTTTTAATTGCCTTCAAGAACTTTCCCTTTGCATTCATAACTTGATGCACAAGAAACCTAAACTGTCTTGGGCTTTAGACACACCTCCCTCACTAAGCTTAATCATTTCTAGCTTCTTCCTTTCACTTGAACACTTAGAGGCTGTTGTAGGGTTATTAATTGGCCTAATTTCAATATTGTTGTGATCGGGGACTAGGGGAGTCTCAGGACAGGGAGAAAGATGGGGTGGGCAGTGACCAACTACTGGAACATTCAGAACACAAACAACATTTATTAAGCTTGCAATCTTACATGGAGGTAGTTTGTTGCACCCTGAAACGTTTGCTATATACCATTGGAGATCACCAACCACAGGTTAGCCTAACAGATACAGTGATGAGGAAAGAGTTTGAAATGTTGTAAGATTCACCTAAGTGTGACAGAGAGACTAAATGAGCACCTGCTGTTGGAAATGGTGCTTGCTTGATGCAGGACTGTCACAAACCTTCAGTTTGTTTTTTGAACACACTATCTGCGAGGTGCAATAAAAAGGAGATATGGCTGTCTGTAGAAATAAATGCAGGTGGTCTGAGTAAATACATAGCTTGGGGCAGTTCACAGTTCTCTTCTATCTAATTCTGTTTTCTTATTGAGCTAGCATGTAAATCCTTTAGCTGAGGGTAAGTTGAGGAAAAAGATCTTGATGTTGTGAGCAGAGGAAAGGTGTGAAATAATTGCCTAGAAGATAGAGACCTGGGAATTTGAATAGGCTCACCAGGAAATATGAAGGGACCACTTGAGGTTGGTGGCCAGAAGTTTAAAGTGAGAATAGTTGGCATGGTTTTGTGTTTTTTCTAAGCAATTTTTATTTGTATGATACATAAATGGAATAAATTTAGGTGGATTTAGTCCAGATTATGTAGCAGACTTAAATGTTAGTTAATGGAAAAAATTAGAAATATCATTAACATTTAACAAAAGGGTAATAGTTAATCAAGATACATTCAGTGGAATGTTAGGTGTTACTAAAAATTGTTTACAACAGTTTTATAATGTTTTTATTGTAGTATGCTTAAAAGCAGAACCGAGAAGTGAATATGTGATACAACCTTAACAACAGAAGTATGTATAGAAAAGACTGAAAAAATAGCCAAATGTTAATAGTATCTTTTTCCTTCCATTTTTCTATATTTTCCAGATTACAGAAGGAAGTTTGACAGAGTGGTAAATAGCTTACACATATTGGGTTATCTCGTGTCCTAGTAAACATTCAAGCCAAATAAAAATGTAAAGCAATTACACTCTAGATTAGATCCATGGACTGCTGCAGCTGAGGCAATGAGGGATATGGACTGAGAGAAGCATAGATGTATAAAAAATAGACTGTTGGAACTCTTTGAAAGAATAGTTGGTCAGTCCTAAAAACTAGATTTCTGGAAAGGGCCTCCCTGGTGGCTCAGGGGTTAAAGTTAGCGCTATCAGACTATCCAGGAAGTTAACTCACATGGCGAGGCAGACCTCTCCTGTCTCAACTGCTGCTCCCCTCAGCAGTGTATTTCAATATATCCACCTGTTCTGCTACCCACTCTGTCTCTGGTGAATCTTCTCACCCCCACCCCCGCCTCTGGCTTACACCCCAGTTCTTGTATGCATAAAAAAAAAATCTTACAAAAAAACAACTAGATTTCTGGAAATTGAGAAAGATTAGACACAATTTAAAGAGGATATGATAGCAGGATCACATAAAAGGCATTAAGCTTTTTTGTTTTGTTCCTTTTATTTATTTATTTATTTTTGTTCTGTTCCTTTTAAAGAAGAGAGACGTGTACATGTTGGCAGGATAAGAGAATCCCTGGGGAAGATAAAACCAAGAGTGAAGGAGGGGGGATAAACCTTTGGAACAGTGGGAAAGGTTAGCTTTAGAAGAGAGTATTTTTCTGTTTGCAGGGGACAAAATGAGACTGAAGCAAAGAATGGGAAGATGTTAGCAGAATGATTTGTTAATAGGGAGGCAGGGTTACATGAGGGAACCGATGCTTTGGTCTCATTCTTTTTGGTAAAGTAGAAAGAGTCATCTATTAGAGGAAGCGAGGCAATGGATAAGAAAAAGCATAAAGAAAGAGGAGAATATGCTCTGCGTGTGGTGCTGTGGAGTCAGGAACAATAGAATCACTCGGTAAAATTTTCAGACCTGATTGCTATGATGAATCAGGTCAAGCCATCATTGATAATAGAGTAGATGTTTCTACCTTTGCTTTCCAGGCCAACTTGGTATTACAGAAAAAAATAATTTGGTAGAATTCTTTTCCTCCCCAGCCACAACAAGAGCTAAATATAACATTTAGTTAAAAAGTCATCTAATTCCCATTTTGCCCTGTCTCTTGCACATTTAAGACATAATTGGCTCTACTCCTATTCCCCTTTATATTAATATTTCTATCTAAAAGCAGTGCAATCAGGATGAAAAGAGCACTAGGTTTGAAAATTAAAAGGTGCTGGGTTTTCAAAATGTAATACAAGTACTAACATATATTATCGACGTTTATTCTACCAATAAAAGCAATTAATTAACTTGATTTTCTGCTATGAATAGAATATACCAAAAAGTTGTATCCCCTCTATTCATAAGTTTCTTTCATCTTTATAGCTTTTCAGGCTGCGTTCCGAGCTCAGGGCCCCCTGGCTATGCTGGAACATTTTGATACTATCTACAGCATTCTACAGTAAGTAAAGGACCTGACCTATATTCGAAAAAGAATTGATGACTCTTTGCCCTAACTTTGCAAGTTAGTCTTAAAATTCCAAATAGATTCACTGATAAATGGTTCTGGGTGCTGATATCTCTACCCCAACATGCCATCATAGTTATTCAGCTGAGCAATTTCATTTATTTTTAAGCATTAGAAACATTAGATTGTCTCTCTCTTTTTTTTTGGAAATGCCAGGCTACCAGATGTTACAAGGAAAATCAGGGTGCTAACCGGTGGCATAAGGTGAAAGAATTCACAGGCAATAGTGTGAAGTAAGGGAAAGGCAGATTTATTGAAATACCCTGCAAGGGAGCAGGGGCAAGACAGGAGATGTCATCTGCACCTAAGCCTTAGATTGTTTAGATTCAACCTGATTTGTTAGAATGGGTTCTGCAGATTCCTGTCTCACCCCCTGCTCTTTCCTTCCCTCCTAGTCATTTTCGAAATATAGATCCTGACCTCAAGGAAGATACTCTGGAATTCCTGATAAAAGGTATTTAGGGGAGGGGTTGTTTATTTCTGTTTCCTACATTTTATCAGCCACATGATGATATCAAGGCTGTGGTGATTCAGTTGGTTTGGCTAAGCCCAGGAGCCTTTGATCTATTAAGGTCTGTAATCTTGGTGGGCAATACAGAGTTATGTGTGTTCACTGTAAGGGCAGACCAACAAGAAATTCTTCCTACTTTTCAGCTACCTCTTTTTAATAGAGGTGATTCTTCCAGCTGCCAGTAAGAAATTATGGTAACTGGAGTGAAAGGAGGGACAGGGCATATGAGTATATGGTATTTGGGTCAAGGGTTCAAAGGACTTAGCCCATGTAATGGCCACTGAGAGATGAAACACAGATCTTTGGTAATCTGATGGCTGCAAATGCTGTGTGTTTTGAATTTGGGTTATATGAGGGAAGTAAATGAAACTGACGCCAGATTCTACCCCTCTCAGTGGTAACCCATCACTCTCAGGAACTTCCAGCTATCCTGGATGATGCAACCTTGAGCATATCAGATAGAAGTGCCCACCTAAATGCCCTCAAAATGAACTGCTATGCTTTGATACGCCTCCTGGAATCCTTTGAGACCATGACCAGCCAGACTGTGGACTTAGACCTTGGTGGGAAGGTAATTTGGAGTCCTCGCTCACAAAATGTGGGACCTGGGGGGATGGGGCGGAACAGGCCAGTGATCCCGAGGCCTCTTTCTGTCCTGTGAGGAAGTAGGAAAGCTGTGAGGAAGAATACCACAGGATCTTTTCCCCAGAAATGCAGCCATTTTGCAATTTGTAATACGTCTACATTCCTGTCTTTGTCTCAATGCTGAGTAGTTGATACACTCAGACTAGCAGATACTGACCCTCTTTGTTTCCTTGTTTTTTCCTACATGTATACATGATCCTTTTTAGGGTAGGAAAGCGCGGTCCAAGGCAGCTCATGGCTTTGACTGGGAAGAAGAAAGACAACCAATTCTTCAGCTTTTAACACAGCTGCTCCAATTGGACATTCGTCACCTGTGGAACCACTCAATAATTGAAGAAGAATTTGTCAGGTGGGTAGTTGAGATTGCTACAGATAGTATTGTACTGGGTGGGCTCTGTTGCTAGAGATGCCTTTTAAATACTTCATTCCTGCTTCAGTTCTCTCTGTAGTGTATAGAGGTAGGCTCACAACATTGAGTTGTGGGAAGTAAACAGTGGAATACTAGAAATTGCTATCAATGTCTCATCTCCTATATCCTTTGTTCACGAAACAGTATTTACTGAGATTCTCCTAGGTGCATGTGGCTAGTATCATTGGAGGCATTGTAAACAATTGGAGCTTATATTAAAGAGTAGAAGAAAAACTTTAAGTAAAGTAGATAGTATGCTTTATGGTCTATTGTTTCGGAGAAAAATGAAGGAATAGGTAGTTTGATGGAAGAGGATTGTGATTTTATTCTTTTCACACAGACACAGTTTTAATGAGTAACTTTATGAGAAGACAGGAAGTGGTTGTGGTGAGGCAGTGAGACCAGGACCCCTGCACACCAACTGGACAGTTTACCATTACCACGTCTTCCGTGCTTTCTGCCAAGCACTGAGCCAGGTGACTCACTGTCCAGCTAGGCCAGTACAGGAACTTCCTGGCACATGGGGCAGCTTCTGTAGGGCAGGGGCCCCCTCCACGAATGGCTGCTCCTCGGTGCTAGAAGTTCCGGAAGGGGGGGGTTCTGGCTAGAGGTGTCATTGCAGGGATTGGGTGTGGAACTCTGGGTGCTCTCTGGCCCTGGGGAGCATCAGGTAGGTGCATCCCTGGCCCCCCCACCTACCTCCAGGTCAGGCAGGAAGGGTATCTAGGAAAAGGCTTCATATCTGTCTGGCATCTGATGGTAAAGCCCTCAGGGGTCACGGTGTGCTCTGACCTCACCTGGACTCTTGGCCAGGGAAAGCAGGCAACAGCAGCAGCAAAGCAACTTGGTGTAGAAGGTGATAGAATGAAGAAAGCTAGGACACCCTAGCTTTGAGGGCAACAGAGCTAGAATAAATGAGGCAGGTCCCTAGTAGAAATACAGCTGTTTTCATCTCACTCTTTTCCATTCTCAGTTTGGTTACTGGGTGCTGCTACCGCCTCCTGGAGAATCCCACTATTAGTCACCAGAAGAATCGCCCCACCCGGGAAGCCATAACACGCCTGCTTGGTGTCGCCTTGACTCGCTATAACCATATGCTCAGTACGTTGGCCCTCTACTTTGCCCCACCTTTTTCGTTTTGTGCTTAAATTCTCATGTTCAGTACTTCCACAGGTGCCACTGTGAAGATCATCCAGATGCTGCAGCACTATGAACACTTGGCACCTGTACTGGTAGCAGCTGTGAGTCTGTGGGCAACTGATTTTGGAATGAAGAGCATAGTGGGAGAGATTGTAAGGTAACTCTTCCTTGTCTAAATTTCTAATTGTTAATCTCAATGAAAAGTTAAGATTACAAATATATTCTCTGTGCAACACTAGGTCCCTTCAGATATTAGACACCAATTTCCTTTCTTACCGGGAACTGACAGTTGAATTATCTTGCTGTTTCTTCCCTGTATAGAGAGATTGGACAGAAGTGTCCCCAGGAGCTGAGTCGGGACACTTCAGGGGCAAAGGGTTTTGCAGCCTTCCTGACAGAACTAGCAGAACGAATCCCAGCTATCCTGATGTCCAGCATGTGCATTTTGTTAGATCACCTGGATGGAGAGGTAGGTGGTCCCCTGAGAACTTCAGAGTTTTCCAGGGGTTTTAAGTCTGTTATTGAAAGGCTGTATGTTAACAAGATGGTAGATCTCACATGAAGTCATGTTCACATTGTCTAGGCCTCTCACTGTAACAGTTCCTTCTTGTAGAAAAGCAGGTGAAGTTTATTGAGTAAAGAGCCCTTTATTAATCCTATTTCAGTATAGCAGTGTTTTCCAGGTCTGGCAGGGGAGATGACAGTACCACAGCTTACATCTAGTAAGAGTCACTCAGCTATGATTCTGAGTGCCATCCTTTCCTCAGGATACAGCTTCTTCCTGCCATGTGGCTTGCCTTGTTTTCTCCAGTCAATTCCTGTCTCTCTTGCCCCTGAATGCTAATCTGGCTGCCCCCCAAACTGATGCTAGGTGGAGATCAAGGACAAAATAGTCACTCATTTATTTATTTTCCTTTTAACTTCTTGTGCAGAATTCCATTCTCTGACTCTTAGCCTGGCAAAAACCCTTAGCCCTGGTCTCCACTGGACCCTGTAATGGATTTGCTTGGTCCTCATGGACTGTTTTCTGCTTTTCTGTGTCTTGTTCTCTGTTGGTAAAGTGTGGGAGAAGGGGTTTTTTTGGTAAGGATCAAAAACTTTGAAGCCTCAAATAAAAGATAGTAATTAATGTTTTTCAGATATGACTACATATTTAGCTACTACCATAGTTACGTGGGTGAACCTTACAGGGAAATTGTTTTGGCTCTTGTTTGTTTTGTCCCTACATTCTCTGAGCAAAGGCCCTCTGGGATTCAGCTTATTCCAGTGATCTTGCAGGCATTTGACCCAAAAAAGTCATAGTTAAGACAAGCAAGCTTAACCTTGACTAAAGGCCTTGCCCCTTCTGTATGCCTGGGTGGGCGCACGAGTTTAGAACTGAAGACTTAATACTGGAGCACAGAAATTCATGCCAATTTTCTTTTTTTTTTTTTTTTAATTTAATTTTTTTTCCTTAAAGATTTATTTATACATACAAGAACTGGGGTACAGGTCAGAGGTGTGGGGAGGCAGGGTAAGAGGATTCACCAGAGACAGAGTGGGGAACAGAATAGGAGGAATGACTGAAATACAATGCTGAGGGGAGCAGTGGACGAGGCAGGAGAGATCTGCTGTGCCACGTGAGTAGCTCCCTGACTGGGGATTGAACTCATGCTGCAGTGGCTGAACATAGCTTCATAGGTTGTGTCTCAACCCCTCGTGCCACCAGGGAGGCCCCATCTCATGCCAGTTTTCTTTCTTTCTCTCAGAATTACGTGATGCGCAATGCTGTGCTAGCAGCCATGGCAGAAATGGTACTGCAGGTTTTGAATGGGGATCAGCTGGAGGAAGCAGCCCGTGACACCAGAGATCAGTTTTTGGACACCTTACAAGCCCATGCCCATGATGTCAACTCCTTTGTGCGGAGCCGTGTTTTGCAGCTCTTCACCAGAATTGTCCAACAGAAGGTGAATAATCTTCTACCTGATAAAGAAATACATTATCCCTCTGTGTACAGGCTGGAGAAAAGTGTCAAAAATAGTATCCCAAGGAAGAGTAGAATTCTGGTTTTTACTACCAGTAGCAAAAGTCTTCTAAGAACAAAGATGTCTGTATTGTCTTAACCGCTACAAAGGGTATTTCTTTATTTATATACCATAAAAGTTTCTTTAGAATGAGTGGTTAGTTCATTTAGAATATACCTCAAGATCACCTTGATCAGAATGGCTATGTGAGATGTGAACTGATCCTTTTGTTCTACCCCACATAGGCTCTCCCCCTGACACGTTTCCAAGCAGTGATGGCTTTAGCAGTGGGACGTCTGGCAGACAAGTCGGTGCTAGTATGTAAAAATGCCATCCAGCTGCTGGCCAGTTTTCTTGCCAATAACCCTTTTTCCTGCAAGGTAAGTAGAAGAAGGAATTAAATGGAAACAGGGATGAAATTGTGTGACTCAGTAACCCCAATATTCATTTTACCTTGATAGCTTAGTGATACCGACCTTGCTGGACCACTGCAGAAGGAATCCCAGAAGTTACAAGAGATGAGGGCCCAGAGGAGAACTGCTCCTGCTTGTGAGTAGTTTATTGGGTAGGAGTCCTCACCCCAGACAGTCTATAGCGGACATTCCAGTGAAAGAATCTAAGCGAGGGCCTCCCTGGTTGTGCAGGGGTTAAAGTCTCAGCACTATCAAGCTATCGCCAGGCACTGCGGCATGAGTTCAATCCCCAGCCAGGGAGCTAACCCACATGGCGAGCAGACCTCGCCTGCCTCTCCCGCTGCTCCTCTCAGCAGTGTATTTCAGTAGATCCATCTGTTCTGCTCCCCACTCTGTCACTAGTGAATCCTCTCACCCCCTGCACATCTGGCCTGCACCCCAGTTCTTGTATGCATAAATAAAGAAAATCTTAAAAAAAAAAAAAAAAAAAAAAGAACCTAAGCAAGATCTTCTCACTTAGCTGCAGTGCTGGACCCAGAGGAGGAGTGGGAAGCCATGCTGCCAGAGTTGAAGTTTACCCTGCAGCAGCTGGTAAAGTTTCCCCAGGAAGAAGAGGAGATTAATGAAGAAATTGCTGACAGAGAGACCGCTGAAGAGGTGAAAGGACGCATCCATCGATTGCTTGCCAGAGCTAGTTACAAGTATGTAA